AATGTTCAACAAAAAGGCATCAAAGGTGTAACATATCTCTTTGCCTGCTGATGTTCATCTGTATTACAATTCAACATTGTTATGTGGACACATGGCAAGTGGCAGTAGTATAAAATATGGAAACATTACGTGACATTATTTTTATTATTAATACCATATAATATGAAGTGAATATCAAGTGCATTCATTGATTGCCTTTTACATTCTGAGTAGGCTTTTTATAGAGAAGAAAGAAATAAGTAAGTCAAGGTGCTGCTTGACACCATGACTCATTTTTAACCTCTGAATAGACTCAGAATACTGTCTGAGTGTAAACAGCCAAACCAGAAGTGAAAATATTAAGAAGCATACGTGTGGCTGAAGTCTGATTGACATCAGTACGCTGGCAACTTATCTTCCTGCAAATATGATCTCACAGGGTTTGTGAACATGCGGCTTACAAGAAAGGATTCCTCTGCGCATAAAAGAGACTTGATTGACCATAACAGATCATATCGGTTCATCCTGGTATGTTAAACGCGTTTATCTTATCTCATAATGTTTGTGTTAAGTTTGCCATCTCAATTGATTGGTATGATCGGCAGCACACTTTCTTTCTAAGCTTTGCAGATTCATCAGATGCAAAACAATAAAAACCACCTCTAGCAAAATGCACCACCTCACAGGAGCCATTCAGAGTGAAGCCATAGAGATTTATGGATGAGTTAACCTTGTGGTAACCCTGTGCAGTGAAACACAACAGGTGGTCAGTCTCCTTTGTCCACCGCAGCAGAGACAGGTGCTTCCGACTTTGGGGGACAGATCACTGTTGACTCTGGACAATGGGGGAAACAGGGAAACAAGAAGGTGTAATTCATGCATAGCCACTTCCAGCCCAGCCCAACTCTATGTCAAACACACAAATGCATAAACCCGCCCACTCTATAAGCATTAAAAAGTCCATATTTCAATGCAAACACAAACACGCTCATTCAAACTGTCAGTGTTTTTCTCCCCCCGGTTTGTTAGGGAAACAGAGGCGTCAGAGGACAATAGTTCTGGGACCCATATCTGATCCTGACATAGGCAAACAGGAAGAGATCCCCTTTGCATAGAGGGGTATTCCTGACTCCGGCTTAAGGAAGGGAAGAAGAATGGTGTTAGAGGGGAAGGGAGGGGGCAGAGACCATCCTTTGACCCAGAACATCCACCTACAAACATTTCCGATACTAAGTCCATCAGAAGAGACCAAAATCTCAGAGCAGAGGAAGAATGGAATGATCTGAGATCAGCAATGACACCCAAAACTATATTTTCTTCACACAGAAAAACATTCTTTCCTCCACCTGCTATCAGCTAGTCACGCTTTTCAACTTTCACTTTGCATTCACGCAAGAGAGGATGTCACCAGTTGAGTACCTTGAACCGTGAGTTCTTTTCTAAAAATCTGGCTCAGTGGCGTGACAGCTCTGATAGCGTTAAGCCGAATCTGAAAGTAACAACACTTTGGAATCTCCTGGATGACATCTGACTGTATGATCAGCAGCGGTATCCAAACAATGTGTTTTCTTTTTGACTGAAACACTGCTGTGTAATTAACGCGGTCTCAGGGCTCTCATCTGCATAGCTGTAGAATGACTTGTAGTCGCAGTGTGATGTGACAGAAGAATAACACAACACATTCAACAAGATGCCTCTGTACATAACCGCTCAATAGACCACTGATAGAAACACATATATTTGCATTCACTTCAGTGCACCCACTGTTTCCTCAAGTTACGTGCTGCCTTAGCGTGCCTTATCTCGTGCTATCAGTCATTGTGTAAGTGTAGGTGCCTGTGTTAATGATGGTCAAATCAGGTTTGATTGATTAAGTAAGAACAGGAAGTAAGGGAGGGGTGATGAGCAAAAAAAAGAAGAGTGAGGGGTTGACCTCTACACGTAAGATAAGAATGGTGATGGAGAGTCCCAGTGTTTACTTATCATTTTATGCATAGGAAAATGTAATCTTTCAAATCAAATGTGTTAAAAACAAGTTAGTACATATATTAACAGGAAAATGTTAAATGAGTTTAATTTTACAGCAATAACTCCCAGTTATTTGCTTCACTGCACATCACAGACAACTCAAATTAACCACATTAAAACTTTTTCGTTGAACTCATCTTAACTCTGATACCTACTTAAATGAAATGAACACTTGAGAGTTTTCGCCTCATCTCCACACAGTTAGCCTGATAACTTTAACCAGTGTCCTTATCCAGCCACTCTCCTGTGGGCCGTGTGCTCGTGTTTTTACCAATAGAGGGCGCAATAGGAATTGAACTGCTCACACAGCAACCAGCGGTTTCCTCTTCAGAGTGCTTGTTGGCTGTGTGTAAGCTGGGCATCTTTCTCACCCAAAAACCCTTCAAGTTCATGTTTTACAGGATCCGGAGAGTCCTTACACAACCACTGGTCCACTCTCTGAGGGAGCTGTTCTTGTTACGCAACACCCGAACACTAACCTCCAAAATGGCTTTTCAGTATCCGCAGGCTTACCGTGACGATGCAGTTGTAAGTAAATGTGGCTCGCTAACTAGCCTAGCGTGCTAATAAGCCGGGGTGCTTAATCATCATGCTTTTTCATTCATTGGAATGGGCGTCTGCTTTGTTAGCAGGCTAGTTAGCTTAGCGTGCTGTGACAACCCTGGCTCATTGTGTTGACACAGCGGAGGTGGCAGTAACTTAACATTACCTCAGTGCTCATGTTAAAGCTGACGGTCCCGTTTGCTTTTTGACTAACGCTGCTAACAAGCCTGGACGTGCCAGCTCGGTGGCACACGTCTGTTGTTTGTTTGTTTATTTATTTATTTATTTATTGCCACACCTAGCTGGCAAGCTCACATTTTAACAACTGGCATTACTGCTTCACCTGTCTCAGGTGGATGACTATCATGGCTCCAAGTTACCAGATCCATACAGCTGGCTGGAGGACCCCGACAGTGAAAAGACGCAGGTAAATACTTGTAAATATTCAGTTTATTGACACATTTAGCCCTTTATCACAATCACACACTGGCAACACGCATGGTTTGCTGTCTCAATGCTGCTCGTTCTGCACAGATACGTCGTTAATCTCTTGTTTTACATTGGTTTAGTGGCACCAGTCGCTCTTGCCACACTGTTCACACAGTGCTGCTGCAGGTTGTGTCATGCAATTACTGATAAAGATTAAGTGCAGTGATAACCACTACCAACCCAAAACGGTGTTGACATCACCAGTGGGCCTGTCCCGAGAAGTTAAGTAATCTGGATAACTCTGCTGAGTAAAACCGGGAACCCTGTTTGATTTGGAACATGTTCTATTGTGGTTTTACTCAGCAGAGCTAATCAGACCCAACGATACGGCAGATTCTTGGAACTGGCCGCAGAGATGATAATACACCGATGAGTAAAACGTATGTGTGTTGGTGTTGTGTCTTTATCCACCAGGCCTTTGTCACTGCTCAGAACCAGCTGACGTTGCCGTTTTTAGAGCGCTGTGAGGTGCGAGACCTGTTCAAGGAGCGCATGACTGAGCTGTATGATTACCCCAAGTATAGCTGTCCTTTCAAGAGGGGGAGCAGGTGAGGCGAGGCACAACGGAATCCCGTTTTAGCCTTCTCAATAACACGCCTGTGTCAGCCTTATTTCTGAGGAGACATGGTAAAGTTGACATCAAAGCATAAAACCGAATCCTGCTTTGTTCTTTGCCTAAACCATCTCTCCCCTCACTTTCAGGTACTTCCACTTCTACAACACAGGCCTACAAAACCAGAGTGTGATGTACGTGCAGGAGAACCTGGATGCCGAGCCCACGGTCTTCTTGGATCCAAACACGTTTTCTGATGATGGGACAGTTGCCTTGCGAGGTATCCACAAAGACTACTGTAAAAACAAAATAGCACTGTTTATTATTACTGGTTTTATTCTTCTTTTAATGATTCCTTTATGTTTTTTGGGGCATTTTTCACTCTTTGAATAGTATTTCCATGATATATTTACAGTATGCCTTTCATTTTAGTGCCTACATTTGATTATGATGCCTTTGCCGAATACACTGGAACAGATAGCCACAATAGTTCCCTGATGTGATTATAACGACTTCCTTTCCATAAATAACCTGCTATTCATAGCATCAACGCTGACCACAAAGTAATGAATGTCAACTTTCCCCGATGTCTTTGTTGATGTTCTTCTCTTTAAGGCTATGCGTTCTCTGAGGATGGGGAGTACCTGGCGTATGGCACCAGTGCCAGCGGTTCAGACTGGGTGGAGATCCGCTTCCTGCGGGTTGAAGACGCCGTGCCTTTGGAAGACCGCCTGGAGCGGGTCAAGTTTAGCTGCATGTCCTGGACTCACGATGGGAAGGGACTTTTCTACAACTCCTACCCCAAACAAGAGGGCAAGAGTGACGGTGAGGTCAAGACAGTGTTAGGCTGCACATTCTCGAATCCTAATCTTCTTCAGCTGCTCCCGCTATGCCTCGGACTTATAAAGAAAAACTAATGTGTAAAGCTCAACACTTCAAACAAATATTTGAGACTAAAAGATTTGATACGGTGTTTTTTAATGTTTTTCCATGTTCTCTTTTTTTTTTGTCAGATACAAGTGTAGCTTTGCATTTGTCTGCGTACAACTTCGATGCATCAGTGTTGTTGCCGCAGTCCACCCCACACCCACTTCATATCTCTTCTCTGTTTTTTGTCGCCACTAGGGGCTTCGATGAAACTAAAATGTTATGTCTTCTAGGCACTGAGACCTCCACCAACCTGCACCAGAAGTTATACTTCCATGTTGTGGGCACTCCGCAGTCTGAGGACGTGCTGTGCGCCGAGTTCCCCGACCACCCCAAATGGATGAGTGGAGCTGAGGTATGCTAGAAAGTTGTTTTTCTCACTCCCAAATATTAAAACGACTGACTGAAGGAGAGTGCATGTGTTAATTGATATTCAGGCGGGGTTTAGTGATTGCATTTATGTTGCAGGTATCAGATGATGGACGCTATGTGCTGCTGTCTATCAGGGAAGGTTGCGATCCAGTCAACAGACTGTGGTACTGTGACCTCCAGACCACTCCTCAGGGTATTACAGGTTTGTTACACTTGTTTACTTCTTTCATTATCTTGATCAGCATTTTAAGTTGTTATTTACCATAAACCTGGTAAGTCTTTTGTGACTTTGTTTAGGGAAAGCAGTTTTACTAGCACTTTTATTAAACTAATGTACGATTGATTGGTTTTTAAGTTCTATTTTTATGCTGGAACTGAAATTTAGATGACTGAACAGCAAATATAGTCTCAATGTATGCCCACAAAAAGGCGAATGAATTCCCATTTTGTGCAACATTGCTGTTAGAAAGAAGTACTTTCTCTTTGTTTTGTAGTCTGCACGTTCAGCACTTTCATTGTAGGACTAAAATACTCCTCCTCCTCTTTTGTTTAGGACTTTTGCCATGGGTGAAGCTAATTGACAACTTTGACGCCGAGTACGAGTACGTGACCAACGAGGGCACGTTGTTCACATTCAAGACCAACCTGGACGCCCCTCGTTACCGCCTCATCAACATCGATTTTGCCTCTCCAGCTCAGAGCAACTGGAAAGAGCTCATCCCTCAACATGACAAGGATGTTATTGGTGAGCTGCTGCAGCATGAGATCCGCACTACTAAAATATTAGGAATGGGGTGTTTTTTTTGCTCTCTACCCTGAAACACAAATTTCCGCTTCCTATCTTCTCTCTGCTCTTGGCCGCGTCTCTTCCCTGCAGTGTTCGCCACCTGTACGTACTCCAGCTACCTGTTCGTGTGTTTCCTCCACGACGTGAAGAATGTGTTGAAAATGTACCGCCTGAGCTCGGGGGAGGAGCTGAGGACCTTCCCTCTTGACGTCGGCTCCGTGGTGGGTTTCACAGGACGCAAGAGGGACTCTGAGATCTTCTACTACTTCACCTCCTTCCTCTCCCCAGGTACAACAATATAACCGCTCGGTTTGTGTCGTACTTTCAGATGCTGTTTCACTGACATTTGTTGCAAAGGAAATTAGTTTAGACATGAACTGTGTAGAGATTTAATATGCACAGGGTAGTTTATGAGGGAACAGAAAAAACAGCTAACAACACTTTGTAACGTGATTATGAAATTAGTCATGTAAAAATGAAGGCAGTGGGATTAAGTATGCTTTGAAATGGGTGTTATTGTATCTTGTCACGGTGATCAGTACATTTATGTTTATGTACTACACAAACATAATTTGCACACATATTGTTAATGTGATTTTAAGGATTGTAGAACAAATGAGATGACATCTTTTTCTTTTCCTGCATCCAGCCATCATTTACCATTGTGACCTGACTAAGGAGCCGCTGCAGCCCCACATCTTCAGAGAGGTCACTGTCAAAGGCTTTAACCCTTCTGATTACCAGACCACCCAGGTAACTATAATTATCTGGAATGTGCACAATTTCCATGATTTCTAGCAAGAAGTACTTCTTTTATTTTCATTTTCTGTCGTGAGAACTCAAGAACTCTTTTGAAAGACTTCTCCCAGATATGTTTAAGTAGAAATGTATACATCTCTCCCAGCCTCGACGCAGTTCTTAAAGTACTGACCCGATGTATAAAAGCTATTTATCAGGTTGTTAAGAGAAAAGTTCAGTGTGTGCGTGTGCACGAGCGAAGTCATGTTTCTCTGCTTATCCTTCTCAAACAGATTTTCAAAATGACATTTTATCATTTTATTTTTTAAAGTAAAGGCATATGGGTGCCTGAAAGTACAGTGTCTCAGAGAGATTTATGTTCTATTCCTACTGAGGGCCGTGACCCCAGAAATAACATTGTAAAAATGAAAAAGCAAGGCACTGAGGACAGAATTGTATGTCCTCTCTCTCGTCTGACTCAGACAGAAGGACAAGTGAAGATTTAAGAATAGCGTCACTGTCTTTGAGCAATACCAAAAACACTGGACATCCTCATTAGCACTAGCATTACGATAAACATGGATAAAGATTATTTGTGTGTTAATACCATATTTGTTGCTCCCATCTGTGTCCAAGATACCATTCCCTTTCTTTTCCCAGCAACCAATTTGTGTTCCTGATCGTGTGTCTTTCTCCAGATCTTCTATCCCTCCAAAGATGGCACTCAAATCCCCATGTTTATCGTTCACAAGAAGGGCATCAAACTGGATGGCTCCCATCCAGGTTTTCTGTACGGCTATGGTGGTTTTAACATCTCCATCACGCCAAGCTACAGCGTCTCCCGACTCATCTTTGTCAGACACCTGGGGGGAGTCCTGGCTGTTGCCAACATTCGAGGAGGAGGAGAGTACGGGGAGACTTGGCACAAAGGTGAGGCGATTCTTTTGCCACACACTGGTTTAATGTGGTTTTTGTCATTTAAAAGAGGTGAACAGTGTATCAGAATAAACCAGGATTAAGGATTCAATTATGCATTTAGCAGCTGGTGTGTAGAATTCTTTATATTTAATCAACAATTTACACACTTACAGCTTACATAAAGACACTTGTATTTTTCCCTTTAGCTGGCATGTTGGCCAACAAGCAGAACTGCTTCACAGACTTCCAGCTTGCTGCTGAATATCTCATCAAGGAGGGATACACTTCTCCTTCCAAACTGACTATAAATGGTGGCTCCAATGGTGGCCTGCTTGTAGGTATGTATTGCTGCTGGCTAAAAAACTATTTAGACTATTTATATATATATATATATTATATATGATATATATATATATATATAATCCTTTTTCAAATGAAGCCTCAAACAGTTTGAGTCTGAGCTGCGCAGATATGAGTCCCTGGTGTGTCTGACTGTGTGTTTCCTCTCTCAGCGGCCTGTGTGAACCAGCGGCCCGAGCTGTTCGGCTGTGCTGTAGCTCAGGTAGGCGTCATGGACATGTTGAAGTTCCACAAGTTCACCATCGGCCACGCTTGGACCACAGACTTTGGCTGTTCTGAAAAAAAAGAGCAGTTTGACTGGCTCATCAAGTAAGTGCCCAGTTACCAGTGTGAAATATCCAATATATTACATTTATAACAACTACTGTACTGAAGCAAGCATTTCCTGTTGGGTTGTCCTGTTGGCTGTGGAGATAATTAATGTTTTAATTTCATCAAAGCATGTCCATTTTTGATGATGTTATTATAGGTGGTCTTTGATTGAAGTGAAGCGCTCCACCTCTGCTGTAAAACAGTGCAGGAGATGCTGATTTACACATCTAATTGTAAATAGTCTTGATTGAATGACCTAAGTGGAACAATTAAACTGTGACACTTAAGCTGAGCTAGGAAAAGTCCCAGGAGGAACTTCAGAACAACCAATTACCCACACAGCAAATTCAATTCAACCTCAAATTTAATTTTAAGGCATATCAAGGAAGCATTTTCACAAGGCACTTCACTCAACAGTGACTGATTTGCAAAGAATAATGTCTAGCAGATTGACACACAATAAATAGGTAATGTCATATTTCAAGCACAATACATGATGCATAAATTGAGTTTTTGGGGGATTTTGCACTGTTGGTTGGATAAAACAAGGTTTTCGAAGACACCACCTCGGGTTCTGATTAATAATTTTTCATGATTTTCAAACCTTTCAAAGACAAAATAATGAATCGATTAAAATATAATATTTAGAATATAATTTACGAGTTACTTAATCAATAATATCTGAACTCGGTGCCCTTGCTCCTCCGCCAGATACTCCCCGCTCCACAATATCCGCATCCCAGAAGGAAACGGGGTCCAGTACCCTGCGGTGCTCCTGCTGACAGGGGACCACGACGACCGGGTGGTGCCTCTCCACTCACTCAAATACATCGCCACTCTGCAGTACATTGTAGGCCGCAGCCCCAAGCAGACAAACCCTCTGTTCATCCTCGTGGACACAAAGTCGGGCCACGGCGCCGGCAAGCCCACCAGCAAGGTCATCCAGGAGGTGGCTGACACCTACGCCTTTATTGCTCGCTGTCTCAACATCTCCTGGGTCAAATAACCTGCTCCTTCCATTGGAGTGTGTGTGTGTGTGTGTGTGTGTGTGTGTGTGTGTGTTTTGTTTTGTTCTCAAATCATCTTTGGAATACTGTTCATACCAGCTGTTCACACATTATTTGTAACTTTACATTTACATTACACACATTTAAATTTTAATATAAGTTTACCCGGCTTCCGTTACATTATATATATATATATATTTTTTGGTCTTGTCTTTGTTTATTTACGTCCCTCCCTCTATTCCCCTCCTCACAAGTCTAAGCCAACATACAGCACTCACAGCTAACATACCCTCTCCTGTAGGTCCTGTTTGTAGTCCTAATGAGATAAAAGAAGGACTACATTAGTGATGGACGTGTAAAGGGAGGGGGTACCTTCACGGTTACAGTAATCAGCCAATCAGCAGTTACAGTCATGAGGTTAAAGTGGCAAAAGTGTATTTGAAGATCATTTCTGAGTCCTCTGGGTGCTTCAACACGATGCATATTATTTATTTTTTTGTTTGTGCTCAGAATGGAGGCTGCGGGATGTCGAATGAATTCAGCATGTACAATTCTGAACAAGACCGTGTAGTGCAAGTGATTCTGCAAAATCGACAGTATTGTTGTGGACGTGAGTTTAAAACTTGCAAAAAAAAAAAAAAAAAAAACACTAGCGTGCATGTGAAACGGTGGTGAGTGTGTGTGAAAGAGAGTGTGTGTTTGGATGTCAGTCCCCACATTTCTTTCAGACTGATAATGATTTCTACCTCTTGACATGTGCTGATTGTTTGCCTTTTAAAGGGAACAAAACACAATGCCACAATTACAATAAACAACTTTTTAAACAGTGATTTATGCCCATTTATTGTGTTTAAGTGTACATACAAGGACAAAGACTATGGTAACAGTTGTGTGTAGTTCAGTTGGCAACATTTTTTTCTGATAAATTGCTAATATTTGATCCACGTTATTTAATAATCGTGTGACAACAGAACAACCCAGAGCTTCTACCGGAGTTCTAAAACAAAGAATTGGAACTTTTATTAAAATGTTTTAATTAGATTTATTTTTGATAGTTGATTATTATTGGATGTACCCAAAGGTTTTTAGTGCTGTTTACAGCTGAGAGAAAGGAGCAGCTGAGTCTGCTGCAGTTGTTGCTATGGCTTTAAGTGTCCACCAGGGGGCAGTAACTGAAATGACCGACACGTGCAGCAGGAGCAGAAAATTAGGGTGGTCTGACAGAGGGCCCCATGTGGATTACTCAACATACATGTTTGTGTTTAAGAACGTCTCTGATAGACCACTTTCATATTTATTTATGAACCTTTAAAAGCACAATCATTTTTGTAAGAATGCACAAATTATATGTTTTCTCTTCCAAACTCATTTCAGAATGGAAATTAAATTAACCAAAAAAAGAAACAAAACAAAAACCAATTTGTTTTCATGACTGTTATATTTATTTGCTTATTTTAAAAAGCACAGCTTCCTATTTGATTTTATTGCATTAGTTAAACATTAAAATGGAGTAAAAGGCTGTAATTTTACACAATCTACACATTTACAAAACAAAAAAGTTACAAGACAACAAATTATTTTAACTTGCCATTTTAATGTATTCAGCTGTCACATTTTCACTCATATTTCCTTTCCTTTATTAAGACATAATTTAGTCAAAACACTACATTTCAGTCACTTAAGGCCATTGAGAAAAGGCATTAGGCCTTGGAAGCTCTGTACAAACTACAACATGAAACTTGAAAAGAGAATTTAGCAGGATAAAACCCTCTGATGGCTGATAAAATGATTTCTTTGTATTGGTGGGGTTGTTGTGGGTCAAGGCATCAAAAGCTCTTAACAAAAGATAATTAGATTCTTTCTATTAATACACAAAAACTTTCTATCAACACACAAAAACTACAATTTTCTCAAATAAACCACCACTTAAATTCTATTTAGTTAGAAAAGGACAAATAGATTCAAAATGTGAGAATATAATAATATAACATAAATTACAGTGAAGTCTTTCTCGATTCAGTTCAAGAAGTTAAATGCCTTTTTAGGGATAATTTAAATCAGAGCACTGAAAACTACATTATTGTTATATATATTTTCCCCAAACATCTGGCTGAAGCTAAAACATAAAAGCGGAAAAATACAAACTGGAAAGTTAATTTTAATGAAAGTTTTGTGATTCTTAAATCACACAAAATTAAAGTAAATCTATTTGTAAAATGTTCTGGCTGCAAACAAATGTTGCAACTAACTAAAGTGTAAGAGATTATGCATATTTAAATCTTAAAAGTGCCAGTTGTTACTGTTTGAAACTACATAAAGAAAATCCTGAAAACTGAAGCCAGACACAGGCAAACAATCTCCTCTAAACTACTACTCCACTCCCCTAAATTATGCAATTAAAAGTCCCCTTTACACACAACACTGCACATTACTTAAATACTAAACTAAATTATCTTCTTGAACTTTTCAGCTCTACAAGTAAATTAATCCACTTATTGCCCAACCAGGAAAACTGAAAAACTTTCAGAGTAAATTAACAGAATAAATAGGTAAGTGGAAATGTTTTCAAAATAGACAAAACACATTTATAGCTTCTCACATCACAGCCAATCAGTGAGCAGTTCAACGTCTCTGCAGGTTTTTCTACAAACTTAAAAGAGTTTGATCCCAAATGTGACAAAACTCATATATATTATGAATACTGGGTCGTTTGATCACTTCATTAGTAAGCCCAATCTCTCTTTAATCATCTTGCAACCAAATATAAGCAATTTCTCAATGAAATACCGATGGGTGACAAATTAAAGTAAAAACCAACATGAAGTGTCTCTGAGAACAGCCTCAGTGCTGCTTGCCAAGTTTGTGGAACTCTACTGGAGGGATGAGCACCATTTCTCTAAAAGATATTACCTAATTTCTATACACAGCCTTTATTTAATCAGGTAGTCATGTAAAGCTTTCAATACTAAATAAAAGGCCTTAAACAAAAGCAAATCTGTCAACACTTTCTTTCCTTCTTCTTCTCTTCTCATATCCCTTTAAAGCCTAAACAGGGACAAAGACTGCAAATCAGCTACTGCTAGAAGTTTTCTAAGTTTGCATTTTATTTCACCTAAATCACAATGGCTGCATCGTTCAAATAAATGAACACATTTAAGATAATTAAAAATGATATTATTCAGATCAAGATCTCTTTTGCTAGAGAGACCTGAGTGCAGCAGATAGAGAGAAAGGCAAACATAACAAAAGGGACAGATAGAGACAGACAGAGCATCAAGGGCAGCCACCGACATTACAAAATAGATTTGAAGATAAAGGTTTATGTTGTATTATTTGCTGTTATGGTGACGGGAGTGGAGAGCATTGTCTGACATGTTGGTCCAAAAAATCTGTCAGGTGTTCCACAGGGTTGAGATCTGGTGTCTCTAAAGGCCATGTAGCATTTTAGAGCTCTGGTGCGCCGAAGCATCCACATCAGATGTTTCTCCAGTCTTTTATTCTGTTTTTTTATTTTTAATTTTTTATTTATGTTTCCTCCGTCTGCACGTGTTTGCGCGTGCATGAGGTAATAGTAATCCACCAGAGGGCGCTTGATGGTCCTTAAACCTGCAGCAGGCCTACTCAGACGTACTTCACATTCTCTGGAGCAAAGCTGGTGGTGCATTAAAACACAAACCAGCCGGTATAGACCCTCTATATTATAGGGTTATAACGTTATAGGTTCCTAACTGTAACAGAGAGAGAAATACGCTTCATATTTGATATGAATTCCGTAATATCCTTAAGAACTTATACTTATGTCCTAAACTCTCGTGAAACTGTTCCTAATTTCTGATTGGCTGACGCGTTTGAAGACGTTCTAAAATACCCAATGAGCACACACCTGTGACCGTGCTGAAATATGAATGCGCCAACCGGAAATCGACGCTCAGCCTCAGCTGAGGATCTACATTACTCGGCGGAAGAGCAAAAATGTACTAATTCCCTTCGACATCTTCGTATTATTGCTATAAAAGTTACAATTTGACTTAGTTATTTTGTTTTCTGTAGTTGAAATCTGCACACCGAGGCAGACATGCGCACATGTTCAACAGCACCGAACTGTTCTCTTATGATTTCGTTCTATCTTTCTCTCAAACAAGCAGCATGGATTTATCCCTCACATGGCACAGACGTGGCTCAAGCTTACAGAAAGATTCAATATTGAATGTTAGCAGTACCACTTATTGAGAAAGATGAGGGAGAAGTTGGCTGTGAGTTTTGGTTGAAGTGATGATGAGCCCTTTGATCTCTTACAGTGGCTTCATTCCCTGGTGCAGTGTACTTTTTCTTGGTGAAAGTAAAGCATTTATTAAGAGGGCGGTGGTGTGTTTAAGCCATTAAATACACCCCAAGACTAAGACAAAAATCTATTTTCCCATGACAAAAAAAAGCATGCCATTGCTTGTTTGCATCATTTGAACCTACATGTAGCCTATATAGGCTATGTATTTTTATGGCATCTGGCATTTCCCTGAACTTAACAACACAACTAAATTTAGCAGAATACAACCACTGCATCTATAACTCTCATCTGTGGAAAGGTTACTCATTTATATAATAAACAAAGACATTTCCTTTCGAAAGCATCTACAGAATCAAATTTAAACTATGTAAAAAAAACATATCTATCTATCTATCTA